CTTTAAATATAATAGTAAATTTTAAACATGTATATATAGGTATCATCTCATACTTTATAACATTTTATTTGAATTTGTAATGATAGCGCTTTAGAATATTTATAGTTTTAGCGCTTTATAAATTAATAAATTATTATTATTATTATCAATCTGTTAGACTGTTACGTTCCTTGCTAATATCTGTGTTACTGAAGACGAAATTTTAATTTTAATGCGCAGTGTTGATACTTCGAAGGCGAGTGGATCTGATGGCATTGGTAATAAAATGATTAAATTTTGTTCCGAGAGCCTTTATTTGTTTTTTTACCAAATTTGTTAATTTCTCTTTTGTCCTGGGGCAATACCCGACTGCGTGGAAAATGGCTAATGTTGTTCCTATATTTAAAAAGGGTAACTCCCAATTGAAAGTAATTGGAGTTCCTGATGATGTTGGTCAGCTTGTCCTGGATGCCGTAGTGTTTCAGCAATTTCCAGAGTGTCACCCTGTCCAGGCTGTCGAACGCCTTTTCGTAGACGACAAAATTGATGAACAAAGGTGAGTTCACTCTAAGGACTGCTCCAGATGATTCACATGTCGCAATCTGGTCGACACAAGACCTGTGTTCCTCAAGCTCGCCTGCTGGTCTCTGAGCTGAGTGTCCACGGCATCCTTCATTCCGTTCAGGACGATTCTGTTGAACACCTTTCCTGGGATGGACAGGAGCGTAATTCCTCGGTAGTTTGCGCAGAAACTAAGGTCGCCTTTCTTTGGGATCTTCATGAGGTAGCCTTCTTTCCACTCTGATGGTACTTGTTTATCTTCCCAGATCTTCTCAAAGAGGGGGTACGTAGAGCATCACCTCTGTAGTTTCTACGTCGGCCTTCAGCGCTTCTGCAGGTATCTTGTCTGGTCCTGCCGCCTTGCCTTTCCTTAGCTGTCTGATGGCATTGCGGATCTCTTCCTTTATTACGTCTAATAAATGTTAAAACCATTGAAGTTCAAAATTGATAAATCAACTCTCGCTTGATTATACAAAAATTTTATTCGGCCAATAATGGAGTATGGCGATATTATTTGGGATAATTGTACTGCCGGGAATAGCGAGTTACTTGAAAGTGTTCAGTACCAATCAGCTAGAGTTGTTACTGGGGCCATTAAAGGTACTAGTTCGAATAGTCTTCGTCAAGAACTGGCCTGGGAGGAGTTGAGCATTAGAAGAAAAATTCATTTTTATAAGATAGTTTATAATTATTCTCCTCTATATTTAATTGAGCTTTTACCAGAATTGGTTAATGAATGGTCTTATATTCCGTTAAGGTCTGGTCATAATATTAGTCAATATAAGTGTAGAACTGAAAAATTTAAGAAATCGTCCTTTCCTTCCACGATTTCGTTGTGGATATACTCTTGATATTGACATTAGAAATTCAACTTCTCTTTCAAACTTTAAGTTGAAAATAAATTTTCTCTTACGAGAAAGGCATCTGTTTTACGTACAAGACTAAGATTGGTACATGGGGGACAGATCACAGACTCTTTTGAGGTGAAGACCGGGGCTAGACAGGGCTGCATGCTCTCGCCTTTCCTTTTCCTGCTGGCGATCGATTGGACCATGAAGACATCCACAGCATGAAAGCGAAATGGAATTCAGTGGACTCTATGGACACAAATCGAGGACCTCGATTTTGCAGATGACCTGGCTCTCCTGTCCCACCCACCCTCAGCAGCAGATGCAAGAGAAGATCAACGATGTGGCGACCACCTCTGCACAACTTGGACTGAACATCTACAGGGGGAAGATAAAGGTCCTGAAAGTGAATGCGGACAACACTCACCCCATCAAGTTGGAAGAGCAGGTCCTGGAAGAAGTAGAAGCCTTCACCTACTTGGGCAGTGTCGATGCCGATCGATACTTTAAGAGCAAGAATCGGCAAGGCAAGAGCAGTGTTTGTGCAACTAAAGAACATCTGGAGTTCAAAGGAACTGTCCCTGAAGACCAAAATTCGACTGTTCAACACCAACGTCAGGTCAGTCTTGCTGTATGGGTCTGAAACCTGGAGGACAGCAGTGACAACCATCAAGAGAGTTCAGACTTTCATTAACACCTGTCTGAGAAAGATCTTCCAGATTCGCTGGCCTGACACCATCAGCAACAAAGACCTATGGCGGAGGACCAACCAGACTCCAGCAGACGAAGAGATACAGAAAAGAAGATGGCTGGGAGATACACTGCGCAAACCAACATCCAACACCACAAGACAATTCCTCACATGGAATCCTGGTGAAAATGGCTACCTGAATAAAGATTATTATTATTTATTAAAGAAAAAATGGACGACGACAAGGATGGGATTTAAACCCACGCGTGCAAAGTACAATGGATTAGCAGTCAATCGCCTTAACCACTCGGCCACCTCGTCCGACTCGAAACTGGATTGGGCTAATATTTCAAACATGTTTCTTTTCTGAATATTAATAAATTGATAATGCACAAAAAATTGATAATGCTCTTTAGAAAAGGGTGTGCTAAAGCAACACACCTTTTATGTCAACGAAAAGCAATAGTTCTGAACAGAATATATACAGAAATCGTCGTTTCATTTTTGTTTCAAAAACATGAAAATACTTCGTTTGGATTGACGAAAAACGAAATCCGACGAAGAATGAACTATCATTTCGTAATTTCATAAAATATTAGCAAAACAGTTACGATCAGAGCATGCAAAAGTGTTTTATGAGTAAACAAGACGCTCTATTGAGCGTTAGTCGCTGGGGCTATTGCATATTATGCTGCATGCGATTGAGATTAAGACTGCTATTTGTTTGTTAAGTTTATGTTTTCATATAATAAAATTGTTTTTGTCAAAAATGGGATTCAAGGAAAAATTAAAACAAAGTTCATCAAACAAGTCCCCGGACTATAGACAATAAACAAATTTGTCTAAGTTTGGTTATATCCAATTCGCAACTTTACATAAGTCACACTCACATGCCTTAAGGCTGCATTCCAGTTACGCGTTATGAAATAACTAAATTTATAAAAGGACAGCATTCAGTTTTGTGTATGATTTAATGTGTATTTGTTAAGGTTATTTGCACTTATATGAAATTTTAACCGAATTCAACTTTTACGTGCGTGTACGCACCTATGAAACTGGAATGCAGCCTTAAGTATCATTGTTCTGGTGTACTGAAGCATAGAGTAGAGCAAAGATAACTAAGCTTTAGAATTATCTAGCTACATGAATGAATGAATGACTTTTATAGTGTATAGGGCTTATCAAATGCTTAGTTACCTCTGTTCTATTCTATGTGTACATACTGCAAGAACACTAACTAGGCATGAATATTTAAA